GGTAAGTGTTTTACGGCGCTCGCAATTTCATAAGGTCGTATGAGCGCGCGGAACACATAAATCATTTTCAGTTGGTAGGAAATTTTGAATTTTTCCCGGATGGCGGCCGAAGCGTACTCTTATTGATTTTTTTTTTTACCACCAAGGGATCTTTAACGTGTGGAACTTGCACTCGGTACTTCCGATATTTTTCGCCCTTGTCCGAGAAGGCTAGGTGCAGAGCTTTCCTACCAGAAGATTAAGGATGTGACTGAAAGACAGCAGTAAGAAAGAGCCAAGGAGTAGCAGAAGAAAAGCTGCAGAAAGAGTCAGGAGCCCTGAAGAGGGGGCAAAGGAGGTGAGGGGGTGGGGGCAGAAAGTGGAGACGAAAGCAGATGACAGAACATTGCTTGAGAGCAGGAAAGGAGGTGAAAGGAGACGATTTTAGAGAAGAAAATTGTTCCGTCGCTTTCCGGATTCGAACCCTGGACCTTTGAATGAGAGGCGAACACACTAACCTCTAGGCAAAGATCGAGAGACCCCTCTTCCTTGTTATTTCTCACTGGGTCTTGGGGTTTGTTTTTTTCAAATGTAGGTAGTGCTTTGGACTACTGTTGGCCAGCGACCAAACAAAATCCTTCTTTAAAACTTTGACCCAGTAATTTTTTAAAAAGTGTCTTTATTTGGCCTACATTAAACACCGCCCTTTGGGCGCATACACAGGATTATTCCATAAAATGCAGTAAGTGGTTTGCAGTACCTTGCCAACAAATTGATCATTTAGAGACATCGACAGTGGAAGTTTGTCCATTTCCCCGCAAGACCGCCTGGACATCTCCACGTGAGTCTCATAAAGTACTCATCGTCTGTAAGACCGTGCCACATAGGCGTGTGTTAACCATTCAATGTTAGGTCCAAAACTTGAGTAGCGGGGCAGGGAGGGAAAATTTATTCCTGTGTTTAGAAATCTTAGTTTATAGAGCTATTTAATGTTTATTGTTCTTTTCCATGTGTGTGATTTTTTAAAACTTTGTAAACCCCGCATTTCTCTTTATCCAAACCCCGTCTTTTTTTCCTCCCAAAGTTCATCTTTCTCTCTTTCCACTTCCATCTTTCTGACTTTCAGAATCCTGTCTCTCTTTTAATTAACTTCGTCTTTCTCTCTTTCCAAACGTTTTGACCAATCACAATCAACATCCTGGATCCCCACAACAAGAACTATTACCTTATAAATTGATCTTTTTTCGCATAATTTCTGATTATTTACCTTTACCATTCTTTGTTAAAATTAACAGAATCGCATAATTTCACATTTGTGAGCTCAGTTTGCATAGTTTCTGGATTTTTTATTTTTTTATTTTAAAAAAATAATTTTTTGGCATAAAACCTCGGGGTATGGAGCCATCGCATTGCTCCGAGCGTGCCTGCTGTAACATGCCAGGGCGGTCAACGTCAACAAAAGAAAAAAAAAAGCGGCCGTTTTAGAACAACACCTTAACTCTTGCAGTGTAGTGTAGAATGTTATTCTTGGCTGCTTTTCTCTCCCTTTGAACTTTCCCTGGTGGAGGGTGCAGTGTAAGTGTTATATACCTAGCTGAGAAGCGCATGGACTAAGTTCGAATACCCAAAATGGGTTTATTAGCATGGGGTTTTAGGTAAAAATGTCCAAGTGCTTGCGCCTACTTAACTGGCCGCAATCGGAGATGGTCGTTCATTTCTGAGGTTTTGTATTTTAAGTAACCTTATAGTGTTGAAATGGTCTTTTTCCCGAATCACCAGGCTACACAGGCTACAGCGCTACATAGCAGGTTACATGGCTACAGGACTACAAAGGCTGTAAAGTCACAGGGCTACGCAGACCGGGGAGTCACAGGGCAACAGAGCTACATAGGCTACATCGTTACATAGGTTACGTCGTTACATAGGCTACAGCGCTACATAGAGTACATCATTATATAGGCTACAGGGCTACAATCGGTAAAGGCTTACAAGTGGTCGCTGCCCACAATGTGGGATTAGTAAAAAGTAGCTCTATGGGTTTCACGCCCCTATCAGCACGATTAGGCGATTTAAGATGCGGATTGTGGGGTAAGAATCAACAAAACTTGCAGTTTGGCGTGAAGGAAAACAACCAGCTATCAGAAATGTTACAGAAAATAAACACCACACCACCTGTTTTTCAGTAATTCTTTCTTTACTTCTTTTTTCAATGAACATTTCACATTTCACTTTCTCTCGAAAACAACCCAACATGAAACAAAACAAGAATACTACAGAGTCACGTGATTAAGGTAAGGACAAAACAAGAATACAGTGTCATGTGATTAGGGCGAGAACAAAAACAAGAATACAGTGTCATGTGATTAGGGCGAGAACAAAACATTAAGAATACAGTGCCACGTGATTTGTATGGGGACAAAACAAAAATACAGTGGCATGTGATTAAGACGAGAATAAAACAAGAATACAGTGTCACATGATTTGTACGGGGACAAATCAAGAATACAATGTCACGTGATTTGGAAGGGGACAAAACAAGAATCCAGTTTCACGTGATCAGAGCAAGAACAAAACAGGAATACAGTGTT